TGGCCCATAATGTGCTTTTGACAGGTAAAAAAGGTGTGGGTGGGCGGGTGGTTGATTTTAGTTGTGTGGGCGTGCTCCAAATTCTGTTTGCACATTGTTAATACAAATTTGTGCTAGTGATTTAAGCTGTTTGCCAATGCTATAAGACATGACATTCGACTTCGTAAGGTACCCCAACTTCCAGATGCACATTGGATACGTACAAAATGGACATGGGAATGGAAATGGGAATGGTAAAAAAGCAATAAGCAGCAGAAGCAACCGACACGACAACCAAATGGAATGAAAGAAAGAAAAAGAAACAGCAACAACAATAATAAAATAAACCAACATACATGCACAGAGAAAAGTTATAAATAAACTATGAATAAAATTGAAAATGAAATAAAAGAGAGAAATCTGTGGCTTGATGGGTGTGTGAGTGTGAGTGTGAATGTGTATGTATCTATATGTGTTTGCGGTACGTGAGTAAGCATATATATATAAATATGTACGAACATATTAGTTGTGTGTATTCAGATGTCAAATATAAATGCACAATAACCCCAATGCACGAATCTTAAAATGGTAGCAAAACTTAAGCAAATATGGTAAACATGTTCAATAAAGGTGATCTTAAATAATACAATATATGTATATGTATATGAATGCACGTGCAAATATGCATATGCAAACACAGTGGCAACCAGCCATCCACCCACTTGTTATCTTCTATTCTAAACGATCGCATCCGACCGTCAAATTGCAAAAACATTGAACCTTAGGCTATATACAAGTGTAGGTAAATCCACATGTACACAATAGATACTAGTATGTATGTATGTATGTATTTTAAGAACAGCAACTTTTGTGCTTTGCTCTTTTTTAGGTCAATTGCCATGTTTTCGTATAGTTATTGACAAATATAAATAAAAGAGATGAGACAAAAACGAAACAGAGCGCAACGGCGGAGTATTGACTATGATTTTAATTTCTAAATTCCGACAAATGTATGTATGCATAGATATATGGGTGCGCATTTATAGCTATACACCCAATCAGCCACTCCCTCCCGTTTCAATAGTGGAGCCAGCAAAATCAGCTCTTAGCAATGAAGTGAATTGTATGCGTCATGGACTGCGTCATTTTTTGGGCATGCCTCACAATGAGGAAATAGTGCGACTGCAAGAGTCAGCCACACACTATTTTTCTTTATATAGAAGTGTGTGTGTGCCCACATACATACATGCATGCGTTCTTTTTTGTGTAATTGTGTGTGTTATAAAAAGAAAAACCCGCTAATAGTAAGCGAAATGTCAGTGCGACAACGACGGCGGCATTGGCTTCGGTCACTGGTACAGATTGAAGATAACGGCAAATAAAATTTGAAACCGTTTGTTGAATTCTGCGATGACGGCAACTTTGACTGCTGCAAACGGCGCTAGCCTATGCGAATACCAGTGTGTGAGTATGTGCGTGTAAGTATGCGAGTGTTGAAAATACACCACACCGAGCGGCAAAGTGTAAATTCACCACACCGGCCCCATGAGGTCGCGACGACAGAGATTCGGCTACACGGCGTTACGGCTACATGCGCAGTACAGACGGAAAAAAATATATAGAGAAATGCAGATAAGCAGAAAATTCCAATACACAACGTTTTCAAAACCAGACACAAGTAATGGGAGCCTTCAACAGTTTTATTGCACCCCTGCCCTGTTTACATTTGGTGGATTTGATGTTAAATTCAACATCTATGTTTTGAGCTTAAAAAGCAACAAATCAAATTACATATGTACACATTATCCAATGTATTTACGCATATGAACGTACATCAGCTAACAAGAAACAAGTGTGTCTGCCTCATAGTGAGGGAGAGGGTTGTGAAGAGCAACGCAACAAAAAGTATAAAAATAATCCCACCGGAGAGCGAGAGAGCACCACAAAGAGAACACACACTTCCAAAGGCAGCAGCGATTGCGAGAGCAGTGCGGTATAAAAGAACACGTAACCGCGTGTGTCGTCCACTTACATACATACATACACATATGTATGTACACTCATATGTATATATCTTCATATATATATATATATTTGTATATATATAAAAGTAATATATATTATTATATCTAAAAAAACAAATTTATATGTAGTAAATTGTAAAAGTAAATCCAATAAAAACCAAGTTAACAATGTACGTGCATAAATGCCCATACATAAGTCTGTGAAAAATAATCCAAATGGATTAGCTTTTTTAAATATACAATGCATAAGATAGAAATTTCATTTTTTACAAAGCAAATATCGCCGCAGCACACTTTTAAATGTGCATATGCGTAATACATTCGGACTGGCGTACATATTTACATACACAGTCACACACACACAGTCATTCGCTCGGACGTTCGTATGCAAGTATTTTAGCTATTGACGACTAAAACGCCTAGCGACCAGAACACACTTAAGCACCACAATTCGCCTTCGCATTAGCCAAGTCAGTTGTTGCCACGGCCGCCAACAATCAACCAAAAGCACTGAAAATATACGAAGCTACAAACGAATCTCACGTCTACATATATATATGTAGAAGTATACATATATATATATTCACACGGACACACACTAATACAAAATATACCAATACTAGCGCACAGCGGGCATTTGTACATATACATGTACAAATGTATGTATTTTTGCACAAATTCACAGTTCTGAACATTTTCGTCTTTTTGCGTAGTATTTTTATCGATCGTTCCATGGAAGCATGTAGAAAATTTTTTCATACATGCGGCGTTTGCACATGTTCTCGGCGAATTGAAAAATGTATTAAAATTGCATAAACTACCGAAATGCACATGTTTATTGCATCGCCTTAAGGCTTAAGGTTTTATAATAAATATATTCATATGTGGGTACATATACATATTTCGCCCCATATTACTAATGCAAATTGGTTACCTTACATTCGATTCACTCGAAACGACAACGACGACTACCAACGAACGGCGAACGACTAAAAGTGACGGCAAATGTTGCACACAGTAAGTGCTGTATCTGTGTGTACGCCTATTTGGTATGTATGCATGTGTTGGTGGATTTCACACATTCATAAATACACACATAAGCGGTAGCGCATGCCGCTACAGCAGATGAGAGAGCGAAAAAGTGTGTGTGAGAGAGAGAGAACAAAGAGAGCAATAGGTAAAAATTAGTGTTGCCAACCTGGCTACAAAAACTAAGTTGCCAGGTGTAACACAAGTGAACTGGATTCGTTGAGTTTCGAATGACCTGTTGTTGTCATGCCTAATCCATCAATTCGAAAAGCAGCTTGTTGATTAAGTTATGTTACTACAGCTGAGCAAATTTGTTAATAATTATACATATGACGTATTGCAGATTTTTACGTTAAGTGCCGTAAGCACATACTAATTTGTTGTTGGCCAATGCAAGCTGCAGTTTTGTACATTGTATGACGCATGCCACAATAATGTTGGGGAGGAGCTTGGCAGCAGCTGCTGCTGCTGTTGCTGTCGTCAATTGTGCGCAATTGTCGTTTAATTGAGTAATTTGAATGAGACGAACGTCCGTATGTTAAATTTTTAAATTCGAATGTTACGCGAGTTGTATTTGTGGCCTTGTACGTGTCTGTTTGTGCGTTGTAAAATTGACCAACAATTACTAATAATTCTAAAAATCTTAATTAAAATGAAAATCCAAAATACATTACGCCTTTCGCTAAGCCCTTGAATTGCGCTCAACGCACAGACGAATTTGTACCTGTTAAAACCTTCTAGCTCTTATCTCTGGCACGCTGATTAAATTTATTTTTTCAACTTCACGGGCTGTGACGGCGCCTTATCAGCAATTATGTGCTTTTGATAAGCTCCAGTAAATTATTGCCTTAATTCTAATGTTGATTTTCATTGAATTGCGCTAAGTATATCCGAGTCGAGGCAGACATTGTGCGACAAACCAACGCTTTTTGAAATTTAACTGATTAAAAAATTTCTTATCGTTGGCAATGCTGCCTCGTTTGACTCGTCTATTCACAAAATTACGTCATCAGCGTCCTACTTGAAACAGTAAATTTTGTTCAGACGCATTTACAAATATATTTTCCTTGATGTTACACCTCATATATCTGATACGCGGTTTCTTGCATTTGTTTCAATATTTAGAATTGGAAATCAATTCAGTTAGCGTTTTAAATCGATACATGTGGAAAATGCGGTCTCTCAATCTCTGGCCGACAACATGGCGCACCAAGTAACACAATTGCGTAGAGTCGAAATATATTACTCACTGCGACTTAACAACAAAAACACAATTTTAGAATGTTGATAGATGACACAGATACACAAGTAGACAGGTTAATATAGTACTTAAGCTTAATTATATTTTCTAAGAATTTTTCTTATAAAATTACTACGTAAACACACCTTTCGTCGGCTATTGCTGCAGTGTGACCGGGTTAAATAAACGTTATAAATCACAATGTGCAATTGGTGTGGCTGCATGGCATACATTAAACGCGTTGGCAGTCCATTAATAATCGATATGATGAAAATCGGTATAGTGTGCATCGATACAGCAATCATCGTAGCGGTCGCACGTGTTTACTTCGGTGTTTAAACTTGAGAAAGAATCAAGCTCGGAATATACCTACATAAGTCAAAATGCCGCGCTCTAAACGTGATAAGAAAGGCAAGGAATAGATCAAATATTCTTTACAGAATGAAATATATTACTTTTATATTGACCTTACTCGCAGTTTCCTTAACTAAGACTGATCGCAAGGGTCTCGCATGGAAGCAACGCATCATCGACGACATTCGATTTTGTGTGGAGAAGTATCCAAATATATTTGTGTTCCAGGTGCAGAATATGCGTAATAATCTGCTTAAGGATCTCCGACAAGAATGGAAACGCAACTCTCGTTTTATTTTTGGCAAAAATCGTATAATGCAAATCGGCTTGGGCCGCACAGAGGCTGAAGAAGTGGAAACTGGAATACATAAGGTACCATTGGAAAGAAATTCTGTAAATTGAAGAAAACAGCTTAAACAAGTATCTCTTGCAGCTATCGAAACGTCTTAATGGTCAGGTGGGTCTGCTATTCACAGAGAAGACCAAGGAAGAAGTACTAAAATGGGCAGAAAACTATTGGGCCGTGGAATATGCGCGTAGCGGGTTTACAGCAACAGAAACGGTTACCTTGCCAGCCGGACCCCTAGAGGAGTTTGCACACTCAATGGAACCGCATTTGCGTTCACTGGGTCTGCCAACCAAACTGGAGAAGGGCATTGTAACCATATACAGCGATTATACAGTTTGTGAAGAGGGCAAAGTGCTGACACCAGAGCAAGCGAGAATTCTTAAATTGTTGGGCAAGCCAATGGCCAAATTTCGCTTGACCATGAAGTGCTCGTGGACCAAGGCTGATGGATTCCAACTGCATGTTGAAGATGATGTGGAGGAGGACGAGAATAAGGCAACAGATAGCCCAATGGAAGAGGAGGAAGGTGACGATGCAGATGAAGATATTGATGAAGAGTAATTAGCTAAGATTTCATTAGAAATTAAGTTTTATGTATATGTATATAATAATTATATATATAGCTATTACAATCCACTGTTGCTTACTTAGGCGGATGAGAGATTTCCACTGCCACTGCCAGCGCTCTTCTTGGTGGTTCGATATGCAATCACATAGCGCTGTGCCACCGGCAACGGCTCTGCGTAGCCATTCAAATAGGATGAATCTTCGAAGAGCACTTCATACTCTTCCGTTGCAGTTTGTGGCAGGCGATGGACAATAGCCTTATAGAAACATGTTGTTTGAGGATACAAAGCCATTACTAGATATTGAAAAAGATAGTTTGGAATAAGGTGAAGTAATTTGAAGGGAATCATAAACTACGCACCGACTGTATCCTTGGGAAAGAGTGCATGCCCGTCTGTTTCTGGATTGGCGCGCATTAAGGGCAAGGGAATAACTTTGCGTTTGCTCAGCACATGTCGATCCTTCTGCTCCTCGTCTATGTCAATGACATCGTATTTGTTTTGCCGATGTAGAAACTGCACAACCTCAGCCAGTATCCAGTTCTCCTCCTCATCTATGCCTTTGGCCAACGCAGCCACATTGTCGCCTACCTTGGCCACATAGCTGCTCTCGGCAGGTATTGCTCCGCATAAAGCTGGCGCACGCTCGCCCGGCTTGCCAACAAAGAGAGGCAATGTCTGAGCCGAGAGCTGCACCATTTTCATGAGGGCACCACGACGGATGGCTTCCTTGTTGCCAGCATTACGAGCCTGTGAATATATAAATATATAAGCATTGAGTACCTTAGCGTTTTAAACTTATTCCCTTACCTGAATACGTCGTTCGTTACGTATGTTTCGTATTTCGTGTATTTTAGCGAGGGCTGCTCTAATTGTTGCTTCTTCCTGTGTTGCCTCGAGAATCTTCGACTGCAGCAGCGTCTTTAGTTTCGGATTTGGATTTTGTTGGGCACGCACAAGACTAGCAATCGAATTTTCAGCGCGACGTCTCTCATTATCCACTTTGTGAATATGTTGTTGAATGTCCTTCAAACGATCCTGTTTTAAATCAAATTTTATAATGAAATGTTTCAGGATGTTAATGTTAATGTAGTTATTACACACCTGAATTTGTTGTGCAGCACTTTCTGCAGTAAGTGGCATTGTATTTTTTTATATCTTTTATTATTTGTTTATATTTTTCTGTACTAAACAAAAAGATGCACTTTTTGTATTGTACGAATATAATGGAATGACAGCTCAGTCATTTTGCTGGTATTTTTAAGTAAACAGAATGCACTAAATTAGGCAGACGGTATTAGTACTACGCGCTCAAATGTAAAAAAGACGGTGTAATTTTATTAGCAAAAAATACTCTTTTTATACCGAAAACGAGTATTTGTCAAGCATCGGACTGTTCGATAACTTAATAAAAACATCTATCGGTTAACTGCCGCACTTCACAGTGAAAGCTGGGGAAAGTCGTTTTTAAACTTAATGTTAGAATATTATTTATTTTAGTGTTAAATCATAATGTTTTCGGCAACGTGCGTCGCGCCTGTTAATATGGCCCTAGTTAAATACTGGGGCAAACGAAACGAGGAACTAATACTGCCGATCAATGATTCCGTAAGCATGACACTAGATGCTAATGAGATGTGCGCAAAGACCACAATAAGCGCATCGGAGAGCTTCAAACAGAATCGAATGTGGCTGAATGGCGATGTTGTGCCCTTCGAGGAGAATGCACGACTGATGCGTTGCCTGGAAGGCGTACACCGTCTGGCCCTGGCCAATGGTGCCCACAAATTTCCATTGTCGTGGAAGGTGCACATAGCATCGTACAACAATTTCCCCACTGCCGCTGGGCTGGCATCGAGTGCAGCTGGATATGCGTGCCTCGTCTATACGCTGGCACGCCTCTACGATTTACCTTTGAACGAGGAACTAACTACAATCGCCCGTCAGGGCAGCGGCTCAGCGTGCCGTAGCTTATACGGCGGCTTTGTGCATTGGCAACGTGGCTCAGCCTCTGACGGCAGCGACTCCATTGCCGTGCAGTTGGCACCCGCTGAACATTGGCCCAATATGCATATGCTTATACTAGTCGTGAACGATGCACGCAAAAAGACCGGCTCGACCAAGGGCATGCAACTGGGCGTTAAGACATCCTCATTGATACAGCATCGAGCTAAAGAGCTTGTGCCGCAGCGCGTTAAGGATCTGATGGCGGCAATTGATGCACGTGACTTTGACACTTTCGCGGAGATCACCATGAAGGAGTCTAATCAATTGCACGCCATCTGCCTGGACACATACCCGCCGTGTGTCTACATGAACGATGTCTCGCATGCAATTGCGAATTTCGTGCACGATTACAACGAGACAATGGGCGCCTTGCAAGCTGCCTACACTTTTGATGCCGGCCCAAATGCCTGCCTCTATGTGCTGGCCGAGAATGTGCCACGTCTTTTGGCTGCCATTCAATTGGCGTTTCCCAATGATTCCTCACAAAGTGTTGAATATCTCAAGGGTATTCCCGTGCCACCGGTTGAGGTCAAGAACGGTCTTAGGGACGCGGCTACAGGACATGTGAATGCCAAGAATATGCTCAAATATATAATCCATACGAAAATAGGAGCAGGTCCTCAGCAGCTAAGTGAAGAGAAGAGCCTGCTAATCGATGGCTATCCACTGACCAAATAGCTTAGTCTCCATAAACTCATACTCTCTATATTCCGGGCTGAACTTAGCTTAATTATTGGTGTTAATTACTAGAACATTTCTAGCTAGGTCTTGGGGAACTTTTCATACAACTCTTAAGGTATACATCACTTATTTATCTTTCTACTTTTTTATTGTTGTTTAGTCATATATAAATATATAATATATATAAATATATATATATATATATATATTATATTATACATTATTTATTGTTTCTTTTACAAATAAATATGATCTTTTCTTTATTTGTTCTCAGTTTTTGTTTAAAGATCCATAACTTAGATACATATATTTACATATTTAACGTGAAACTGCTTTGTTTTGTGATTTTTCTTTGGAATTTTTTTAACATAAATAAACATTGCTTCAGTGTGCATGCAAATTAGAGATGGGAGCGTGATTAGCTCCGCTATGTGCCTTAAAACAGTATCGGATTGAAGCGTGACAAAGAAGGAAAACAAAAACAATAACAAATGGCAAAAGGTGACAATAAACGTCTTCTGACGACATCTATAAACATTTCGAATTTTAAGCAATAAAAAAAAACAAACCATGAAGCAGATGTAAAATTTTGTATTCTAGGCAAAATATAATCAAATTAGAGTTACCATAAGCCCTTCATAGTGTTTTATAAAAAATATATTTATATGTATATGTGAACAAATTAAAATAAATGTTTTTTTTTACGAAAAGCTGATCTTTGTTATTATATGGGTAAAGCAGCTGAGTTTTGACTTCCAAAATAAATTTGTCAATAAATCCCCGAACTTTATAAGCAATAAAAACGTTCCGTGGATTTCAGTAAATTTATATAATATATATATATATATTCTTACAATCAACATATATAGAATACTTCTTCATCTTATAAATAAACATAGGGGTAACCGTATGTATGTAAGTATATGTACATCTATAACTAAATAAAAAGTACTTTTCAAAAGCAATAAAAAAGAATTGCAGCAAATAAGGCATTGCACGTTAGTGTTATTAAAGTTTAGACAGAATTAAATGATTCTATATATATATAAATAGGCACTCCAAGTTAAATGGTTTCCATTAATCAGCCGGTAGACTCACTGCAGTCCGTCAAATGGTCAATTGTTTCGATTACGACATGATTACTTGGTAGTGTGTCTAAATCGAAGGTATTCGATGATGCGTTAAGTAAAAGTTCTAAAGATATCTCCTGCTCCAAGGCCACTGTCGACAGCAGAACAACACCACTCTCCGCATCTACGGCCGTTTCGATGGTGTCCTCCATTTCCTGATCTTCCACCTCCTCTGTCTCTGCTTCTGTATCATTGTCGTCTGATATTAAACTCGACATATACTGCTGGACAGTCTCCTCGGTGTTATCCCTATGTTATTTGCCCGCTAGCAAGCCGGTGCAGCCCGCATCCACATGTTCCATAACCTGTTGCTTCAGCTGCGCTACGTGATCTTTCAGAGTTTTTACAATGCCCGCCAAATCAGTGTTCTCGCCCTTAAGGATTTTGACGCGATCCTCCAGCTTTGATATGCGTTCTAGTTTACGTTTGCGACACTTTGAAGCCGCGACGCGATTCCGTTGACGTTTACGCTCCAGCTTAATCTTTTCTTGATCAGCCATATCAATGGGACTAACTGTCGGGGAAGCCACTGCATTTTGTGGCTCATCCTTAATGACGGGAAAACCATCTATAAATAGGAAATGCCGATTAGACACTGCTAGATTCTGTATTATCAAAGTAAATGGTACTCACCCACGCTGGTGTAGGTGAACCCCCCACTGATACCATTATTCACGGCTGTCATGGTGGCTGGGACAACAGCAGCTGGATTGCTGGCAGCCGTTGGAGCGTTGGTATTGCTGCCCAGAAACGCCTGAGTGTTTTTACTTGTGTGAAGGCTCTGGAGAGCCTCTTCAAAGCCTTTGCCGAAGGCTTCCTGTTCCGAGGTAATGGGACCCACTTTAGTGGGGAATACTGTGCCAGGTTGCGGCGTTTGCAACATGCCACCTGAGAGTAAAATTTTTTCAAGGTCCGGCGTGTTGAGTGTCTTTATAGGTACATCAGGTGAGTCTATAAGCAAAGGTGCCATTGTGCGCTTGTTTTTCTTATTAAGGTCCAGGAAAGCAGGACGTTTGCTGACGTTGGGAGTTGAAGTGCTGTTAGGGGTCTGAAATTCCATTGACTCCTCGGTACCAATTGGATCTGGTTCCGTTTTAGGTACTATCGATGCGGCGGTTGCGTTACTACTGTTTGTATTGCTGGCGAGCGCAGCAGCGGAAGCGGCAGAAATTTTCATTTTTTTCCTTTGAATATGACGTCAGACTGATTACAAAAAGCGAAAACGAAAAAACAAAGCAAATAGTAGTGGGTCGCTGATAACTTGTTTTAGATGATGACTCATCGCTGCCTCTTACCCGCCCGCCCGCATTCTATACAATCACAAATACAAATGTCGTGTGTGACGTATAAGTGTTTTGACCTTACTTACCTATTTCTAACACAATGCAATTTTACCGGCTACTTTATTTAATCTTCTCAATTAATATATGTTTAAGCTTGTATTTCTTAAAAAGAGTTTAAATTTAATTAGAATTTAAACGTAAAGGCAATTGCGTTGTATTTTGTTGGTTTTGCTATTCACAGTGGAGCACTTTTGATATTGCCACATTTATTTAAAATCGGTAACAGCTGTTTTCACCAAATATCGATGACGTTTAAGATATAACTGCAAGTATCGATAGTGGCGCTTCTTCTTCCTCTTCTTTTCCGCTGAGCTGTCAAAAACGTAGGTCGCAAATAAACCAAATAACTATTTTAATTCTACTCAAAAGTGTATTCTTCAATGCCATCGGCAATTGTTTTGTTGATTAATGAAGAAAAGCAGCTATAAATTGTGTACTATAATGGATATTTTTTGTTTTCATGTTATGCCATTAACTGGCTGGTCGCCGACTTCTGCCGTTAAAACAGTTTGATAATTCGCAATGGCCAAGTCCAAGAATCATACAAATCACAACCAGAACAAGAAGGCACATCGCAATGGCATCAAGCGCCCAATGCGCAAACGCCACGAGTCCACCCTGGGCGTAAGTAGAGATCATCAATATGATAGGATCTTAAAAATCTCATATATTTCTTATTGTCCCACAGATGGATGTCAAGTTCTTGATCAACCAGCGATATGCACGCAAGGGTAACCTTTCCCGCGAGGAGGCAGTCAAGCGCTACAAGGAGCGCATTGCTGCTCAGCAGGGCAAGCCCAAGCCCGTTAAATTGTAAATTCCAGGCCGCATTCAATATTGGTTTGAGTGCAAATCGTGTCTTAGAATAAAGGAAAAAAACATTTAACGAACGTACGCAAATTTTATTTATGATTTGTTGCTCATTTCGGTTAGTGACGGGAAGTCCCATTGGCTTATGCAGGTTTGCTAGTGTTTCGGAAAGCAAATAAAGCATGATAATTGTGTTATGGAAGCCATTCAACTTAAATTCAATATACTTGATATTTGGATGTGTTTTAAAATAGAATCAGCGCAGACTTCTTTAATATAAGAAAGGGAATCCACTTCCAACATAGAAACGATTCATGTAAGATTCAACATTTTTACAAAAAAGGTTGAAATTCGTGTCAATGGTTAAAAATTTATAAATTGTTAAAATTGCAGAAATTGGTGCTACAAATGTATTTATTCGTATATCGATAATTGCTACGCGCTTTAGTAATTGCGTTTGGCCATATTGTGCACGTTTTGGCATTTGTCAATCTGGCAACATTTGTTTCGTATCAGACATAGCCAAGCAAACAATTCGGCGACTGGCCAATTGTATGAAAATTCGTAAACGCGTTGCCCATTGTTTGTTGGGTAGCAAACGGCAGCGAACGTAGAACTGTTGTTCGGTCGCCATATATGTAACTTAATTTAATAATAGTACAATTTATAATAGAGTGTGAAGATATTGTTTCATAATTGTATTTAATATACAAATTGATAATTATGTAAACTGTGAATATCTGCTGCTTAAATTCAAATGCAAATAGTGAAAGAATCATTTTTCGCGCAGTGTGCTGCTGCGAATGCTTGGTGCTCGTCTATATGTACGTGAATATGTACATATATAATTTTTATTGTGTGTTCGTGACAGTTTATTTAGATTATTTATAACCGACATATTCAATTTTAACTGTTAAAGTGCTGATGTTATAGAAAATAGTGTAAGAGCCATTGCGGGCGTAATTACAATCAGTTTTTATCGACGTTTCATTGTCGCACATACAAGCTCGCATACAGCGACACACGTGCGTGTATACATACAGACATAGCTACATTCATACATAAGTACATACACACATACACACACAGCAGCGCTCAGCTGTGCTCAGCTGTCGTTTGTTGTCAATGTGTCTGATCCTGCCGGAGTGTTGTTTTTGCGCGGCAAATTTGTATAACGGCATATCGTGCCTACAATAACAACAACAACAACAACAACAATTGTTTGACTTAACCGGTGAGTGACATGATCTGTATATGTAGAAATAGGTAGATATATATAAATCAACTTGTGTTCTTACAGTATCGATGAAAAAATCCAAATTTTAAACAATTTCAAATTCCCTATGCGATTTGATTAAGTAATGCTTAGTAAGACATCAAATCCAAGTAAATATCCGTAGCAAATATTCCTCAGGCACGAATTGTCTGTTTGTAGAATTTTTGCGCCGTCATAAGTTCGCATTGACTAAAGAGGTGCTAATTTATTTAATAATATTGTCATTTGTGTGAGCAATCAATTTAATGATTTTCTGTAGACTCCAGTTAACAGAATTTCCAAATATATTTATTTTTAAGTATCATGTACAGTAGTGCATAGTCAACAAGCAAAAAGTACGAATATATGTAGGATTGTGAAAATATATTTAAGTTACTTTTATTATTTTTTTTCTAGTCTAAACAAAAGAAAACGGACTTTATTTGTTTGCTTTCGGTTATTTTAAGTTTTACATAATTTCGTTTAGCCTTGTTTTATTTTTGTCATAAGAATTTCGCTTTCTACGTAGCTTATTCAGCAGTCATTCATGGCTAACAAGTATTTAATAGACGGAATTGAAAATGAATTACTTCCGATTGGTGCGTGGGGCACTTCATTACGTCCTCAGAGTATACCTTTGACGCCATTCGTCATAATTGAAATGAATCTATCTTAATGCCAGCGCACTCGAAACTAAGCGCACTTTATCTTTGTTTCTGTGCCAGTTTGTATTTACCCACTGTGCTTATCTATATACAAATGGGACGATAAGAAAGCTAGCTGTGTAGATATGTACAGACAGGCGAGTATATATAGCTTATGTGTACATATATGACACTCTGCTACTATCAATCTGGCGGCGTCTCGTCTTGTCAATGCATTGTTAAGATTGCAAATTCTTTATGATTGATTTGCCTTTGTCAATATTTGGCGTACATATATTAGCTAATATGTATACAAATAATAAATATAAGGTAGCTTGATTTAAAATTAAAGCATAATATATAAGCATGAGATAGCATTTCCACTAAAGGGTGACTTATAGTAATTATTTAGTAATTTTAAAAATATGAAGATAAATATATAAATATTTTTAATATAAGTAAGAACTATGTATATCTTTATATTCAGCAACTTTTCAAACTACCCTTGCGTGACTTCTTATACAAACTGATATGAAAATAGTTCTATGGAGTGCCAAGAAATTTACTTATAAAACAGTTGTAAATAAAGCTTGAAAGGGTTTTCGACTTTATTTGTTATTATGAGAATCGCCTAGAAGAGCTGTGCTTGGCAGTATTTTATTTGTTTATTTGTAATAAAACATTTGTTTGGTTTCGCAAAACTCAAATATTTACAAATATAATCACAAAAATGAGTTGAAATGTTAGTTACATTGTTTCTTACATGTGATGCTGCAAAGAGAATTATGAAAGTTATTGATTAAGTCGAATAAGTTCAACTCTGTTAACCAGATCAGGTTGTGGCAGTATGGAATCAATCTATAGAGTATACTTGATACTCTCTAATACGTGTCTATTTAATATCCTATCAGATTAATACGATCAATACCGTCACAAATTGATGCTAATTTGTTAAAATTAATAAATCAAATCAACTTTTGATAAGCATTGAGCGAAAGCTCTGTCAGTTGCGTTCGACACTCTGAAAGTGGCAGAGATACATTAGATGTACGCGGTCCACTCCCGATATTGACATAGATTTCTAGTGATTTATCAAAATTTATAATGATTGACAATCTGTCAGTTTATTCCATATCACATTTTATGGAATCCCAAGCACTAAGCGAAACGGGCGTCACATTTACCACGCAAGTAAGTTTTCCTCCATGTTATACGAATGACTCAACAGCTGCTCAAAAAACCCATTTATACTTGATACTTAAAACTCGTATATATATCTGTATACATGCGCTTATATATGCATATTATGTGATATGTTGTATAAGCTGCTGATACTGCAACAAACTTTTGTGAACTAGAAACCTCGGCAGAGATCCACTTTTCTAGCCATTGGGACTTTCGGAGTAATAGATGATAGGTGGCAGATGGTAGATAGATGACAGATGATAGATGATAGATGATAGATGATAGATGATAGATGATAGATGATAGATGATAGATGATAGATGATAGATGATAGATGATAGATGATAGATGAAGATGATAGATGATAGATGATAGATGATAGATGATAGATGATAGATGACTAGATGATAGATGATAGATGATAGATGATAGATGATAGATGATAGATGATAGATGATAGATGATAGATGATAGATGATAGATGATAGATATAGATGATAGATGATAGATGATAGATGATAGATAATAGATGATAGATGATAGATGATAAGATTAATAGATGATAGATGATAGATGATAGATGATAGATGATAGATGATAGATGATAGATGATAGATGATAGATGATAGATGATAGATGATAGATGATAGATGATAGATGATAGTAGTGATAGATGATAGATGATAGATGATAGATGATAGATGATAGATGATAGATGATAGATGATAGGAAGATGATAGATGATAGATGATAGATGATGATGATAGATGATATGAATAAGTGATAGATAGATGATAGATGATAGCTGATAGATGATAGCTGATAAGATGATAGATGATAGATGATAGATGATAGATGATAGATGATAGATGATAGATGATAGATGATAGATGATATATGATAGATGATAGATGATAGAAGGATATCAGATAGAAAATTGATGATAGATGATATAACATCATTTGTAACTATGTCTGTGCTTCACTGACGACTAGCTTTCAATAGCGATAAACGGAACTGCTAGAAACAATGACTGTTCGATTCACCTGTCAACGTTTTCAACTTGCTGTAAGCATAATAATCTGAAGTTTAATGAACTAAGTTTAATTGTAGTCTGTGATACTACATCATTGTTTCGACTTTGTTCGCTGCTGTTGCTTTTGTTTTTGTCTCTGCTTTGGCTATTCTGGGAATTGTTGATAGACCGCTGCCAGACAGGCACAAATTTCACTCACAAATTGCTTGGCAAGTTGTATAAAAATAATTATATATTTGGACACTTACAAATACACA